TAGGTACGTTATTACTTATTAGTATAGCGTACCACTGGAACTGTTTTATTGAACATTAAACAGGGTGAATAACCGTGCAAGACTATTATATCTGCAGGTACGCCACTTACGACTTATTATATCGTGTTATAGGGTACCTACATTAATGCTATAGGTTAAAATATTATTTTTGAAATAATAGTCGACTGCCGGTGACACGCATATCCAAGTTCTGCTCAAATACAATTATAATATATGACGTACTACCATGCCATTATAGTACTCTGCTACTATGAGTTAAACGAATTTATTATTTTCAAACAATGATAGCGTCTTTCATTTAAATATTGATCCTTATTGTATAATATGTATAGTCGTATAGTTTGAAAAAAAAAAACAAGCCGTCACGTAAGTTGCGTAGGTACAACTTTGAATAGTTGGGTTATAGTCGTGTATGCTATACATTTATAATATACTGTTATGTATCGATATAGTCCACGATGTCCACTTCAATATTATTTCGAATTAAAGTCTAAGTATATACAGATATAGATACTATACAATATAATATAGTTTGTATATAGAATATTAGATCGTGTCTAATTATTTTTAATTATTTGTTTACCCAAGATAATAGAATTTAAAATATTTTGCTCGGCAAGACTTCCAAACGTATTACAATCACATTGCTATTTTATTAAATTACAGTCTAATTATATTGTTGCTCTGACAATTGTTAATTGTTAATTATTAAAATCACTGATTTTAGTGTGTCTGAAATTAAAATAATTTATATGAGCGTCATATAACTATAATATGGTCCAAAACATATTTAGAGTGTTAGAATGTGGATAGTTTGCCAAACATCGCGCGCGTACATGCCAATTCATTATTTTTAATTCCAGAAAATGTTAAATGATTTTATACTTTTTGAAAAAATAATTATATTTTAGTGTATTTCAAGGATGATAAATTGTATTAATACTAATTATTCATTTATTTAAATAATTCAAAAACAAAACGATACAAAATTGTCACAAATACTCATATAATGTAATAAAATGTTTCTAGTATTCTTATTTTAAATTTATGTATTAAATTATTTATCAAGCGCCTTTAAATCATATATAATAGTTTTAATAAACTAATAACATTTTCAACTAAAAAGTACAATTTACGACTTTTTAATTTATGTTAAATTTATAATAGTCCTATATACTCATCGTTATCGTCTCTACGAGTAACCGTTTTATTTATAAAATATTTCAATGATTAAAATATTATATTCTAATGAAGTCTTTTATCATATTATACTCCACCATAATGCCATTATTTTACTTCTACCTCCTCGGCGCCTACTATCACTTCTATCACCTATGACTATGACTACAAGTTAATACCAATTTATTAGTATACTCTACTACTATTTACCAATGATCGTATTAATAATACAATTTTTACAGATATATATATATATATTACACTTGTTACAGTAAAAGTAGATTAATATAATATGCCCAAATCCGAACTTTTAAACGTTAGAAATTTTTTGTTCTTCATTTTTAAACCATATAGTTTCGTTACTCGATAAATTAAGACACTATTCTACTTAATAGCTAATAGATAAATACATTCTTATAGTATTTAGATTGTACAGCGATTGTAATAATTGTCAATTCGGGTAGTGCATTTTCTTTATCGTTCGTTGTCTATCAGCACTCAGCAGTGTTATAATAATGTTTTAAACATCTTTAACGATTAATTGAGTACCCCAGTACCAACTCATACGCTGTTTATAAATGACGGGAAACGGAAGAATACTGAATCGCGTAAAACGGATACGGCATTGGGTGATTTCCGCGTACAACTAGAAAAAAAAATTAAATAAAATGTAAATAAAAAAAAAAAAAAAAAATTAAAAACAGACTAACATTATATTATACAATATTATTCTACGGGACTTGCATCGATAACGAACCGAATTCCTGGTTATTTGTCGGACACGTACGCTCGCGGGGCCGATACCGTCGCCGACGTCCGAATTCATAATCGAGAGAAAAATAATAGTATTAAAAAAAAATGACATTTATATTATTATTATATATGTATATATATTGTGTATATTATTTACCGATTGTGTTGTTTTTACTTTTATTATTATTGTAATCGTTCAAATGCATTTGTCTTTAGGTTTTGTATTTTTTTTTTTCATTATTCAACGCGCCGTCCACCGCATGTACACGTTACACGAATAATATAATATAATACTCGCGTATACTCCCCTACAAAGAATAGTACTTTGAATCATGCATTTTCTGTTTAGGCATGCGTGACGAATACTGAAAAATTAATAGGGTTACTGAATTATTAATTGTACATAAATTATACAATAATTCATAAAACTATACAAATTATAGAAAAAATAACTTAATAAAAATGATACAAGAAGATATAAAAAATCGAAAAAGTACAAAATGAAAGTTTAAAAATCAAATTCATTACTTCCTATTTTAAAAGTTTTCCTACGAAAACTATGTGATACAATAAGCTAAAAATAAAACATTTTTCCACAAATTTACAGCCTTAACAACATTATTATATTATTTTAATACGTATAATATATTATGTGTGTTTGAGTATTTTTCTCCTTGTTCCGGCGTGTGACGGGTTAATTGAAATGTCGAAAATCAAACGGCCCGCGGCATGCGGCGGCGCGGCACAGGATCTACGGACGTATTACATTAGTGACTATTATTATATTATTATTATAGTAAACACGATAAATGAAAACCAAACACCACTTAACTACTAAAGATACAATATCCGCCCATTATATATACTAGAGGTGGCATTTAAGGGGCGTTAAGGTGTAGTTTGGCACTTCTATTTTTTTCTGCATCTTGTTGGCAATACAATTTACAAACGATGCATAAAAATTCAAATATATCATGAAAATTATATTGTTTATACTATAATATGAACATAAAGGTAATGTGTATTTATAATTTATAGATGTTTATTTTGATATGCATCATAACAAAAGCTACTTCCAACTTTCCATTTTTTTTTTTTTTTTAATTCGTTAAAATATTAAATGTATAACTTTTCACTGTGTATATAAAATACAATATCTATTTACTACAATGAAAAAAAGTATTCTGACGATAAAAAAAAAATTGGTCTACTTAAACTTTAACATATTTATTGAATACAAATTAAAATTACACTATTTTTATATAGTCTTATTATAATATACGCAGTTCGTTAACAACTATAGCAATAACACGATGACACGAAATATATAGTTATTGTAACTTCCTCGTATATAATATATTAATATATCAGGTCCATGATTTTGAACCAAAAATATTCATCAAGTAAAATGAAAAACAATATCGTTTTTTAAATCGAGTAGGTATACATTGTGCATGCTATGTATACTAACATAATTCTTAAATATATACCAGACGACTATTTTATAATTTTGTCACTTACCGCCACATAATATTCTTTTATACCCGATGGCATAATGTTTGTATATACGGGTTACGTCTTAGTAACGTGTAAGGAATATTATTTTATAATAAAAAATAGGTACAAGTACTTCATATTTCTTTTTCACCGTAATACGTGACAACGTCCTTTTATCTTTCCCTGACTACGCATACTTATCCGGTAAAATATTTTTGAAGACGCTATGTAACATTTAACATAATATAATATTATTATATATTCAGATGTTCTACCTATGTGATTTACATGTAGGTATACGCATAGAAGTATTATATTATTTAGGTTTAATCAAACCTGTAGCCGCGCCACAATCTCATAATAGACGGATAAAAACAAAAATTATACCTTATTAGTCATTAAAAATATTTGAAATCCTAGATTCTCGATAAATATTTATATAATTGAGTAACTCAAAAAATATAATTACATTTTTTAACGACCGAATATCAGTTTGTAAAATCGTATTTTTATTACGTTAATAAATTTGGACGTTTGAGATCTTCAAACTGATTTTTATTGCGTATAAATTATAGCGAAATAAAAATAAACATGTTTTTTTTCTCTGAAAACAATATTTCATAATAACATATATATATAATATACATTGTAACTTATAAGTATAATATATTCGTTATGATATGTAAAATTTTGTTAAAGAATTTTAGACCCTCGCTTATAAAATATGTACACGACTATATAACCAGATGTGACATATATAATTCTCATGACATTAATTCACTAATATTTTACTGTTTCAAGATTAAAAACTAGAGATGTTCATTAATAATATCCAATATTTCCTGTCAGCTCCATGTATCAGAAAAACAAATTCAAGCTGTGCGCACTGTGAGAAATCATATTAAATCTCACCATAAAACCGTCAAATTAAAATAAATATAGTAGCACGAGAAAACATAAACATTTTGATAAATCGTTCTTACGTTAAAAAATATATTTCATATACCTCATATTTTTTGAATTATGATAATTTTAAAATATAATAGAAACAACATGAAACATTTTTATTTTAAATTTATCCAAAAATAATTTCGTATTAAAATTAAGTAAAAAATATAAATATATCTTATACTTCTCATTTAAAATAAACTAAGAAAAATACATAAAAAACATCTAATGAAAAAAAAAATAATACGTTTTTTACTAAATACTCAATACATTTTAAAGACATGTTAATTTTATCTTCACGAATGTATCATGTACAATTATCGTAAGTTATAAATTTATGAAAGAGCTATCAAGATTATAAATGTATAACTTTATGTCATTTTATGAGTTCTGATAACAATCTATCATAAAATAAATTGTATTTTATAAGTACGAAATAGTCGCGTGTAGTAATATATCTTCATATTATAATCTTAGGTAATGTGAAAATAAAATTAATAATATTTAAATGTGGAATATTATGTATAATGTGTATTAATATAAAATAGTTTCATCTAGTGTTCAAATCCATATTAATTTCAAAAAAAAATTTTTTTTTTCAGTTGGCTGTTCTACAAGAATACCCAAAAGACAAAATAGCTGGACGTATAACCGATTTTTATAATCACTGTTCCCCAAAAAATGTGAGTATTTATTCCAATATTTAATTTTATAAATATTATAAATATGATAAGAATTTTTAAAAAACGAAATTATTTCAACATCTAATTATATGGATAATAATGATAATATAGTTTAATGCTAATGTTTGATATTATACGTAGGTATACGTTTTATTTTAAACAATCATTTAGAAAGTTTTCAAATCTAAAAATTTAAACACAAATAACTACACAACAATATATTATCGGTTTCCGTCGGATAATAATAAAAAATCATGTAAATAACAAATACATTTTAAAGTGAATATACTGCAGCGGTGTCGCGTACTTTTATCTGATGTTTCATCGAGTTGTAGTCGGTGTGGTGCAGCGGGAACGGATGATGTCTCCGTATTTAAACCAGTTGTCGTATTCAGAAGTAAAAAAAACCTACACGATATTTTCCCCACAACCGAATATTGAGACAAGAATAAAGACAAAAAGACAAAATAACAAAAAAAAAAAAAAAAAAACACAAATGGAAAACTGGTTGTTAAAAATAATAATAATAATATTAAAATTTTGCCTCCGAATTGATGACAACGATATTGTAATAACATCGTAGCGCGATATAACCGACCGTGTTTACACATAACACGCCCACGCAGGGGTAAAGACCAATGTATAGGTACCTACTCTACTGTTAATAATTTAATATTGGAGTCATTTCGGATAAATCGCGTTCCAGACACACTCGCACGCACAACACGTGTGGGTAATCCGACCCGGCTCTTGGGGTGCATACCTACACATGGTCCGTTTAATCCGACACCGGTCTGTGCATACTGCATATACAATATACATGGCATATATTTATATTCTCGTATTATCTGCTTGCAGGATTTGGCTCGTTTTCCGAAATATGTCTTTTTTTCTCCCTTCGACGTCCGTCGTGCGTGTAATACGCACATATTATATGCATACACGAAAATAGAGTGAAAATTCTAAAATAATTTTACTATAATAAATTACACATAACGATTAACGATACGCGCCCTTTGATCACGAAGAAATGAGAAGAATTTTACTATTATAATATATGTAATAATTATTAAGTATGATGGTTATATTGTTTTATATTTTTGAGAAATCACTACTATCCTTAATATAATATGCAGTTTTCGGGTTTTTATTTGAAAATAAAAAGTTTTTATCTCAGTTTCGAATATATATAGTATAAAAAATCTATATAACTGAAAATATGATATATATTTAACATTTCTAAAAATCAGAATGTTTGAATAAATTAATTAGTTTAGAGAAAAAAATTAGGATGAGCATGCTTGCAGGTGAATCATCCTATAAATAATATCATGTAAAAACGATTTTTTCTTTCTTTCTTGACCCCTCTCCCAACACTCCACACACACACACACATACATACATACGTACCTAAATACACGATATAAATATATAAGTACGCTGGGCATGAGTTTACGTGACGTGATAAATCGACTCGGCTGCCACACACGCGCACCGGGCGCCCGCAATCTTGATGACCACTTATCCTTGTCACCGGTGTCGTGATTTAAAACAACACTATATACTATACAGGCTACCTATATCGTAAACAGTGTACACTGCATATAAATATATATTAAAATAAATACATGTGTGTCCATACGTATATATTCCGTGAGTATTTTATGCTCATGATGCCGTCTGGTGCGCACGAGTTATGGTGTATCGGCAAAAGAGAGAGAGAGAGTGAGTGTATGAATGTATATGTGTGTGATATCAACACGAGAAACGACGCGCAACTATCATAAAATTAAAAACCGCGGGAGTCCGTCTGGTTCTCACGACGATCGCCTCCACGGTCGCTGCGATCGTAGGTATAGACTTATATCTTCGTCACAATATTCCACGTCGGATGTCAAGCTTATAACATTATCTCGTATTAACTATACATGGCCATTAACTACACGATATTATTGTAATTTATTAAAATCAATATTTGAAAACGATAACTACATCTATATATCATGTAATAAATAAAATATGATGATTGACACGTGTACAATCGCGCGTTTGAGCCGTTTGGATAATACGTAATGGTCTATAGCTGCCGAATTAAAACCAAAACAAAAGACTACTACTCGGACGGAGAGATATTAAAAATAACGACGAAAACGGCACGAATAAATAAACACTCTAAGGGTGGTTTAAAATCTATTCACTATTGTTATGATGAAATGTAAAGTGTTCTTACAACATATCGTACGGAATTGTATAATGACGGATTATCGAGACGTTTCAAATATTATGTACTCCAGCTACGCCGAAGTAGACCAGAACAAGAACTGTAGTATTATGTTACCCGCGGGTTGTTGAATTTGAGGTGAAATTCGGACAACTTTTAATTTGGTGAAAAAAATTCGTATTTAGAATATTTTGCAGTAAGCGCATAAACACCAAATAATATCGCACGGCTATATTATTACAGAGAGTTGCGAGTGCGCGCTCGCCCAACCTGTCAGCTGCGTCAAACGACGTCAATCGCGAGCAACGTTTAACGTCTTCTATGCACCTGCAAACTGCACAACAATAATATAATGCCGTACACGAGTATTCGTTTTCTTTTTCTTCAGACATTTCTGCAAATCGGCCCGTTTGTGCTTCCCGTTACGTTCGCTTTTTTTTTCTTTCGCCGTTCCACCGACAGCCGCGAATCAATGGACGAATATTTCGCATCAACGCGCTATATAATATTATATCGGCGTGTACAGTATAATACGTATAATACCATACGATATAATATGATATATACTATACTATATAGCCGGCAGCAATAATGGAACGCATTCGTCATTCACGTCACTATCGCATTGCTCTTGACGACTGCTCCAGTATAGTAGACATCGCCCATTATTATTATTATCGCTTGACACACAAAACGATTTTCGCTCTATAATAATATTATATACGTGTATGCATCGTATTGTGTTGTGCACTCCTATCTCTCGTCAAAACGTACCGCGCAGGACCGCCGTCGATAAACCGTCCAAACGACACTTGGAATACCGCGCCGAGTGGGATCACGATCTATATACCCTATACCCACAACCCACATCTAATAAATACGCGTATCGCCAATCACAATGACATTACTATAGGATAATACCACCGCCGCGGCTGCGTAATACGAAACGTATGGTCGTTTATTTGACACTAAATTTCGGTCGCGCGATATATTGTTACACTGTTGCTGCGTTGCTGCACCAGTTTGTCGGCGGTTTTGGATCGGAGTTTGATATTATTAAATAAAAAAAAAAAAAAAAAAAACAATAAACGGCGTAGGTGCAATATACTTGCGCGTATCTCCCGCCCGTTTTGGAGACGCTATTAAACAGGTAGGTTATACACACTGCAACGAACAAACGTCGCGGGACATGTAATAAAATTAAGTAGGTACCGTGCCGTAAAATAACTCTCAGCGGGACGTTTGGGGTTAGGCCCACCAGACGCGCGCTCAACGTCGGTCTGGTGCACGTCATGAGGAGTCCGCGGGGGCGAGGTATACAAACCTTCTGCAACAGGGCATGTCGACATCGTAATTCATTAATCTACCTCAAAAAAAGTTTCGTGTCCGTGATAGTAATCTATAGGCCCTTCGGTCCGCGAAAAAAATAAATACCTTCTCGGGACTGGCGATAAATATGTTTGATTTATTAACGAGATACCACTATATATACACTGACACCCGTGCACACGGTTATGTATACGTGTGTTGTAGTTGCAGTGGTTACGTATCCTACATGGGAGGAACGGAGAGAAGTAGACATCAGCTATGCCACTGCTGTTTTTTTCAAAACAAACATTTCCGATTTATTATATTATTATCATACTATCATCTTCATCGTTTTATTATGGATGATATTATAAACGATATTGTAATAGCGATAATACGCAATAGATACGTACGTACCTATGACCTTTTATCCTTTTCTGTGTCCCGCGTTTTATGCATTTTATATGTTGTATTATACTTCTCATCTGCAGCCCGTCAAAAACCCACGCTAGTAAATTATGTCCACGCAATAAAACGTGTCGTCTGGAAGACCTGATTTATACAATTTCTAGTACCTGTAAGGCGTGTGTTTTAAAACCTCCCGGTGGCCATAATATGCGCGATGTAATATTATACGAACTTTATATATATATATGTATAATATAAGAAATAAAATAAAAGATAATTAACGTGTGAATCTTCCCCATTGTACGCGTAACGGAAATATAATGACGACATCTCATCCAGGCCCACCCCTTTGAATTATCGTTGAGAGTGTTGATTTAAACAAATATATCTACCTACTAAAATAAGTAATAATACTCTATAATGGATAAAACGAAGATAGTTAATAGTTGTGTTTTATAGTCAATAAATTAATAGAACTCGTGTGGTGGTTATACACAGTATTCCTACACGTAAATACATTTTCTTGTTTTGTATGATCACTCAATAATAATAAATGTACATAGTGTATTATTATTCCGTACATAGGTGATATTTAATTTATATAAGTACACAATTTAATATTTTGTATAATGTGTGCATAATGATAGTGCATACTGTATATATCGTCACAGTAATTTTCAACGAATGTTTAACTATTATATTTCAAATTTTTAAAATTGTATTATACCTTAATACACACATTTTTACTATAGATACCTGCATATAATTTGAAGTTATCAATCTGTTTTAACATTGTCTCTATTAAGTACTGTGTGTATTGCAAAACCAATTGTTTGGCTTTAAATTTAAAACTAATTATACAATTTATTGTATGCCTACCAAATTATACCTCATTGTATTAGTCGTGTAGTATATAATTATTAAGTATTTATTTTTTGAGTTATTTTCGAAGAGAAAAAACTATCTATTTTGTATAATAATTATTAATCATATTTTATACATTTTATTATGACTGTTATTTTATTCTATAATAACGTATACGTTTTTGATGAAATTACATAGGTATGTTAATACATTACTGTCATTAAAATAAATTAGATTATTTCTTATATATGTAAGCACGTAATAAATTTCCGTTAAAAAATAATATTTAATTTAAAATAACAAAACAAAGAAAAATAATGTTTTTAATTTTTTTGGTATGATATATACTACATATTATACGACTTAATGAATTCCGATTAGGATACCCGATCCTTTATTTCGTTTCGGGGTAAACTGTACATTCGTATAGCTAAATCTTTCGTCCTTACACCCTTAACAAAAAAAAAAATTAATAAATAAATAAATAATAATAATAATAAATACAAAAAACAAATCCCAGGACCACTGCTGTAGACAGCCGGCGGAGGATTATCTGAGGGAGTCCGCCACCGTTCGGACATATGTTATTTATTATTTGTTCGTCATATATTCCTACAAGATATCTTATAATATATGAGTATATGACCCTATCCCATACACTTAGGACAAGTTATATTTATAATATATACGAGTAAACCGATATTGCCTACGCATATTGTAGCAGGTATTCAATATACTACTTCGAGGTTGCTATTGATTTACCACTCTACAAAAATTGTAATTAAATATTTTTAAATATTATAGTATACGCTGTAGATAGGGTATGAGCGTTAATTTTTGAACTCGATTGCGCCGCCTTCTCCGATAACCTACGATATTGCTCCCAAATTCTGTAAATAGATAACATTATCAAAAATAATATTGCAGCGCTAGTATTTATTGCATTAATAATTTCGATAACACGCGTGATAATAATATAATAGCACATATAGCCGCTAAATGTTTAACTATAAATATAATTGTGATTTTTAAATTTTGATAAGTTCGTTAGACGTATAATAATATATCATGGTAATTGGTGTCTTAGTACATTATTAATTATTGTACAATTGTACACAATGCATATATTAATCATACGATTGTATTTTTTGTTCTCAGGTCCAGCACGTTGAATGGTGTATGTCATCTTCAGCTCAAGGTAAATCAAACATAGCATGTATATTGTGTAGTGATGTTTAGAATAATAAATTAAATGAGTTAAAAACACCGCATAATCGGAACTTATTATACTTGTACATACAATTTATAAATTAATTTTACACTTAATATGCAAAATTAAGTAACATTTTTTCAATGAAGATCTTTATTTATTTAAATTTAATGTAAAACAAGAAGAACCTTAAAAAAGTTAAAAATTAAACTAATAAAAAAACTTTATTACTTATTTTTTTTTTATATTTTAAATTGTACTTGATTTTTTGAAGGTCTATTAAGTATTAAAAAAAAACTTTAAATTGTCTCTTATTTATTCTTAAATTAACTAATATCAAACACAAAAATATAAGTGGTAAAATGCCTAGGATTAAAGTCTATATACGTGCAGTAATAAAAAAGGATTTTCTAATGAATTCAGAAATTAGTATAAATCAAGATAGGCCTAATTCATACATAAGTAATATTATAAAAAACGAATATCCTATACAAACAGCTAGAACAAACTATCATACCTGAAGTATAAATATAATACGATTGATAATTAAGTAAGCGCTTGATATCGTATGATACCCTTAAACGATATTGAAATGTATATAATCATAAGGGTAGATATGACGATTATAGAAGTAGTAATGTAGTATAAATATATATTAGTTGTATCGACGTACGTGTCTAATTAAATAGAAGGTCGTGTGTAATTATTTTTAAAATCAAACGGCAGATATTTGTTAATTAAACATGGTTTACACGTACCCGAGTGCCTGACCGAATAATGTGGTCACACGATTAGAGTCATATATGCGTGGTACCTTCCCTTTGTATATAATAATGTATTAAATGACAAGAGAACCAAAGGTGGAAAAAAATGTATACATTTGTGTAAAAATTATTAAATAACATATAAAATTATAGATACTTTTATAAAAATAATACACCTATATAATACTGTTATTATAATATAAATAATAATAATTTTGATACTAAACCTTAAATATTTCATTACAAATAAAATGTAAATTTACATGTGTGTGTATGTATGAAATACATCTTTACAAACTTAAAAAATTATAAAAGTTATATTATTTACCTCACAACAAATTGAAATATGCTCAGAAAAGTGTTTTTGCCAAAATATTCGTTAAAATTACGCGTTGTTTATCTAAAAGAAAATTTTAAACATGTTTGGACTAATTCCGAAAATTCATTCTATGATTATAATTTTTATTACTATAAAATATTTCAAAACAATTAAAAAAAATTGATTAATTACGATCTTTTAATACAATACCGTGTAAGTTTTCACCTCAAACATAAATTTATAGTCTATCCATATCACTGTAATTCTAATTTTTTTTTCATACACATAGTACAAAATAGCATTATATCACCACTTGCCATTTCCCAAAGTTAAATTATATTGATATTTTTTTTTTTGTTAAGCACAATTTTTAATTGTGTTAACCGCTATTCACTTCACATTAGTGTAACTTATACCGATACGGATTATATAGTTATGTAGTTAAATACTTATTATGTTCATATAACAATTAAACAAAAAAACTTATTGTATTATACTTGTATTATTCTAAAAATTTGACATTTTATCGAGTTCATCATAACCTGCAGATAATAAATTAACAGGTTTTGTGGTCTCATCTATCCTATTATAAATCCAATATCCAAAATTAAATCATTAATAAGACTAGAAACCTAAAATTTTGAAGATTTTATAATGTCCCGCTTCTTTTAATTTCGGTTTGGTGCTTATATTACGTATCTAACTACTGATATTTTATACGTATAATAGGAGTGAAATAAACAATATTATCGTGGTATAAATACTATTATTATTATTATACACTATTAAATATTTGCAGGGGAATTAGAAATATCAAAATGTATTATTATGCTGACGATGTTAAATCAGGAAATATTTAGGTGAATAATCCACACTAACTACTAAGCCCTTCCAATTTACACTTCATTTTGATATAATACATTATGTATTATAATTGTATCTAACGAAGTTTGATGATGGTGTGCGCAGATACCGAGATAAAGTGGCTGGATGCGGCTAGGAAGTGCTGCGATGTAGCCAGGTCGGATGGATGCCAATTATCCTGTTTGAACCGAAACGCTGGATCCCGATCGGTACACAGGGACTGCCAAGACGAAACAGATTTCTTCAATTGTCTGCAACACCAACAGGTAAGACCACCATATGTTAGGTACAACCATACATTCATAAGCGTCGTCTCTTTATGTTTGTTATACGAATTATACGTGAGGATTGGAATTTTATCTAATAAGTATATCGATTATTAATGAGTAGCAAAAATCGATTTTCTATAAATATTTATAAAATTATTATACATACAATTTTCTGAGGAAATAAAATATAATTATGTGTATAAGTATGACACTAATATCAAAAATGATACGGTAATGATGATAATAATAATAATAATATAAAAATAAATTTTGAACTAGGTCACTGAAACATATAAATAATCACGATAATATAAATTAGGCAGTATGACAATAACACACAGATGGCAATGATAGTAAATGTAGCTTATCTGTCAGACGGTTGATTGCAATTTGCCGGACACATTAGCATACGACTTTCGGCCAGTGTTTAATAGGTTATTTTAATAATTCATAACGATAATCATGCAACACGATCTTGGCATATTATGTACGTACTCGTACCGCTAAGTATTCATTTTCGTGGAAACTCAAATTAAAATATTACAGTTATTTTAAACAGCACAATTGGATCATAATATTTTGAAGTCCAAAAAAGTGGAGTGCCTGTACAATTATAAAATCGACTGGGAAGTAAATACGTGTTCCAACCAAAAGTCAACGATGATGATCAGAACGTGGATAAAAACTGTCGGCAGTACAACCTGTCGGCAGGTTATAGATTGATATTTTTTTTCCAAAAATATTGCATTTATTATATGATTGCTATTTAATTATTATATAATAGTATAAATATATATTATATCAACAATCAACTTATATAACTCAAAATTGTACATATTTTTGTAAATACGGTTAAACAATAAAAATAGGTTCATATAAACGATTTTTTTTTTTATATGCCTCACTCAATTTTTTTATTTGCCATAAGCAACTTTGTTCGGTAATTGTAGTTTATTTTTTTCATCGTGTAAACATATAATAAACATTGAAATGTTCCTAAAACTTCGTAAATACAAAAATCACAGACATTTGTATAAAAAAAGTTATAATATTCATTTAGGAGATTCCGCAGACCGATAACGGTAATTGATTCTTGAATAGCACATAATATCATTATACGTGTTTCTAATTTTCATGTATAATATCTTTGAAATGTTTAAGTCATAACCTATAACGTATAAAGCTAAAGATAATAGATTGAATTATTGTCTTACATTATACATTTTGATCCTTCATATATGCAACGTACATAAATTTATACGAGGTGTAATCAAAAACTATCGATAATTATTTTTTTTTTTATTTAAAGATTTAAACGAACAAATATTTGTTAAAATATTATTTTCTTTTTAAATATTCACCACCCGATGTTATGCACTTATCCCATCGATTCTGCAGCTTTTTAAAGCAATGCTAGAAGTCTTCAACTGTAAAATATTTAAATTAATTCACCATATTTGTTTTTATTGTATCAATGTCGTCAAATCGTTGCTTTTTGAGGTTAGTTTTAATTTTTGGAAATAAAAAATTCACAAGGGGCAAAGTTCGATAGTAAGAGGGATGAAGTACAACTGACATTTTTTTATCAGCTACAAACTCACAGATTAAGTGATACAGCGACCAAGATCGACTACTGAACTGTTCTAAATATTTCTTTCGGTTTCTTTCTCGCAATTTAATTAAAACTTAATTGTAATAAGTCTGATTAACCAGTTGATCGTTTAAAATGAATTCATAATAAATAAGGCTTTTAGTATCAAAAAAAGAATCGGCATGATCTTTATATTGAAAAAAACTTGACAAACTATTTTGAGTTTTGGTGTTGTTACTGATTTTTATTGTGACGACTGTCTTTTGGTTTCTATGTCATAAACTTATAACCGTAGACCTAAGTTTCATCAATCATCACTAATTATAATATTTTTCATGAACTCTGTTTCGTTTTATGCACTTTCTTTTCAACTTTGATAAACTTCAAGTGTTCGAGTCGATAAATTGTTTTAATCTTGGGACAACAATTTTTAAACAATTTTTACACAGACTCATTTCATGCACAAAATCCCCAATTAAAATAGTTTTTAATTATCTATAAGAAACGTTACACTAAAAATTTCTTTTACCTACGGTTTGATCAAATAATTTCTCAAACTTTTGCCATAATTTCCACATTTCTTTAAGTTAAAAGTCAACTAGCACAGAAGTCATAATTAATTGTTTTACAAACCTTTTATGTCATTCTATTATTTTAGAACAGCTTGTTGCTTCATTTTCAAATGTTTTTTTTTAATAATTTCAAGAATTTCAATCGCTGATTTGCCGAGTTTAACGGAAATATTAATACAAAAACGCTGCTCTGGTTTGTTCATTGAAACAAAAACGGCAGATACAACAAATTTTATAACTTTAATAGACTGTCGTTCATTACTACAAGAAAATATTAATTCGCAGCTTGAATAACGTGATTAAGTGTTATTTCTTGTTTTATTTGATATGTGTATATTTCCGATAAATTTATTTTTAGTAAAAATATAATTTTAATCTTGGTATTTTTTTATTACACCTCGTACGTATATACGTATATATACTCGCATTATATTTTAATGGCGATATGAAGATTTACAAGCCCTGTAATATTTTATTATAAATTAACTTTATTGTTTATATAAATATTATAATACGAAAGCGAATAATGACCGTATAAAAGTAAACGTTTTCACATTCCTTGAAATTTATGTCAAAACAACTTCAATGATAGGATTTTTATTTCGGTACATGGTATAGCAGCAGTGCGTTTTAACAATCACACATGGTTCATTACGTTGTTGGAGAAACTTAATTATACAGAGTGACTAAAATTTATATCACGTTATATTATATTTTATTTTTTATTAATTGTCATCATTCAAAAGTAAATCTAACTGTTAATATTATAATTTATTGTATTCTTACGTCCGTGTCTCGCCAAATCATATGATAAATCACTTTTATTTAACGGACAAATCTGAGTTCTTAGTTAATTAAACTCTTTTTGACATGTTAACAAGCAAACGAATCAAGTTCGTAGGAACATATAAAGCGAAGTAGAACCCGTGAAACATTGCAACTATACGTTAACGACTGTCGTACTTGCAGGTTTATTTTCTAAAAAAAAAAGTACAATATAATATTATGATACCTATGTAGATTTAAGCCTAATCGTCTAGACACATTATAAGGAACGATGAAATATTTTGGTCTCAGGTCGGGGGTATTGCTTAGTGTACCCACAAGACATATAATAAAACTGCTTACAAGATGTTTCACTGCGTTTTTCGTCTGTCAAATTTTTAGAACTTATTATACTATTTGAATATAGCATTCATAAGTTGATATCATTAAATAAAACCACATTTTTTGAAAAAAGTTATATTTTTTATAACTTTTTTTTATGTTTTTATGTTATTAATTGTTTATATAATTCCATATTCTTAAGTCGAATAGGTAACTGATAGTTTTAATACATAAACCTCGAACTTCATTCTTGTAATTTATTAGTTATAATATATAACGCAGATATCCATTTAAAGATAAGATTACTCATCTTAGATTAGTTGTGTGTAGATATGAGTGATACAAAAGTACTCCGTAAAATGTTGGTCCGCTGGTTTCGCTCGAATCAAAATTTTAAATACTATTTTAACCATAACTAATTATTATTGGTTAGATATTCGATTTTTATAAGCGGTCGAAAAAAAATTGTTTCTTATGCAAATATGAATTATGAAATTAAGTATATAGCCACTGCTCGAAAGGGTAAACAAATACTATGCGACTGTCAAAATAATCACCCTGTATAATGCATATCATATTTAGATTGTGGGCGTCTACGTGGGACCTTTGTCAACTTCACTGTGTATCAAATATATATACATCGTGTATATTTATGCTCGTCGTTTGTTTTGTAGGTCAAAGATACATGTTGTGGTGACAAGACGGACGCGGCGCAGTGTCAGATCGCGTGCGAGAAATTCCTAGCCAACACGCCATCCATCAACCGACACGCAGCCAACCAGGAAATCCTCGACCTGTGCTCGGCCGACCGGCGGGACACACGTTCCGCTACCACGACAACCACATCGGTTGAGCTGCACCGTCGGTGCACCCGAAATACAACCACCAGAAGAACGTCGTCCGACGGACATAAATGTAAGCCAGGTGGTTTAAACTTATACCCATCATAGACATCATGCAGTTCGGGGCGGGATGAGATGCAGAAAATGTATTCCCTTCTTGGCTTTTTAAAAACAAACAAAAACAAACATGAAACATAATATAAAAATACTTTTTATTTATTTATAATATAAAAAATATGTTATCGAAGCTTGCCTTCTTCTAGAAAAAGATCTGTAGACGGCTATATGCCCTATACCTGTTATTATTATATTTAATATTATACGTGACTTCGAAATAAATACTTTTTAAATGAAGTTTTGAGTGCAATTTGTTAATACATGGCATAGTAGCGCCCACTTCTATTAATAAACAGTCACCTTACTTCTTTAGAAAATGGAATGCAGTTAGTCATTACGAAATATATTTAACGCGTACAACAAATTTATAAAAACAAACATATACAATTCATCTTCTAAAGGTGCTCAGTAAAATTAGTATTGATATTTCCATCCACGTTAATTTTGGGAACGTGGATGAAAAGAGTGAAATTATTATTTTTGGCGAGTGGAAAATGGTTATCATAACTGAGTACTTATATTGATGTCGGGTTTTGTTTTGTCTTACAGACCTGCACTGTTGCAAGTTGGCCGCAGATACACAGTGCGAACAAGCCTGTCAGGACAGTCTGCGCAGAAAGTTTGACTCAGACGTCGAGGCAGTCGACAGCTTGGAGGGTAGAGGATGTGGACCGCCGTCGTTGGACGTAAGTAAATTCAGATTTAACACTTACGTCTTACGTTAGGCAGTAATTTACTCAATAACGTGGTATCCTCAGCATGCAACACCTATACTGTATGGTAGTGAGATTACCTGAATTTTCCTTCTAATAATTAGTCTATAATAAATTCTAGTCTTAAGTTGCCAATAACTATAGTATTTGCTCTATTTATGTTTTTATTTTCTTAATTATTTTTAAATAAAATTTAGAAAATCTCCTACAAATCAATTTTTTTCATTTAGTTAGATATATAAGCATCTAATTCTTTATTTAAATTTTATAATATTGAGTGTTATCGTGTAAAAACTGATAATTTACTTTAAAATATAATTAAAATTACTATACATGAAAAATTTTAACGACAATATAAACAAAGTATAATAAAGTGTTTTATTCGATTTCATAAATAGTACTGTGTTAATGGAATTTTCATATATTTTTTAGTTAACATGACAGTAAATTATTATTCACTACATTGCCATAGTCATTGATTCAGTGTAAAATAATGATATAATAAAAAATATTTATTCATACGCAATACACGATAATTTTTTTCTTGTAATTTTAATCACATAATTTCATTCATTTCCATAAATTATTCTCGTTTTAAAACATGTTTTTAATTTTTAAACTAAATAATCTTAAAAAAAATAAAAACATTTTAACAAAATATGTAATTAATAACTTTACATAAAACCATAAAAACACAAGAATATATACGAGTATTATGATTTTAGATAAAACTAATTAAAACTATAATAAGGATAAAATATAATTATTACTAAATTTGCATTAATCTTATCTCAGAAATTCAAACGATGAAATGTTCTTAAAAACAACTTTATTATAAACTATAAACAACTATACCATTATTTGTTCAATTTGTGAGGTTACTCGTATATATTTAAGTAACTGCATGTAGCATTATATATGTGTACCTATAAGGTATTTCATGCCATTCACGCATCAAAAAATAAAAACTCAAAAAAATATGTAACTGTATATGGCTAAAATCAAATCGATCATTCCTTAGTACTTAGGAATAATTTATCATACACATTTTAGGTAGGTAATAATATTTGACATGTCAGATTTAATCGATTATTCCATTTTAGGACCGGTTTTGGCAATGTTTCTTACAAAGCGAACGGGCAGAGCAGAAAGATACGTCGGCGCCAGCACCGATGTCACAAATAGAGAAACTCGGCATGGACAGTGTGAAACTACATTGTTGTGATAAGGCCACGATAGCGGGATGTCGCAAACTCTGTTTGAAGACGTTCACAAACGAATGGTCTTCGTCGTGGAACGACTTTAATTTCGAGTGTTTGTCGCATCCCAACGAAGATCGATTACTCAAGTGTTTGGATGATGGTAAGCAACGTTATACATCTTGATTTCTGAAATTAATATTTTATAATATAAATATTATTATACTTTAAATAGCAGGATAGCCAACTTGTGGCTCGCGTTTTATTTATAAAACCAACATTTACTAATTATTATAATGAATATTTTTTTTTACATTTATCAATTAATATAAAATATATTTATATGTTTTTGATCTTGGAATCATTATGTTTATCCTAGTGGATCGCGAATATATTCGTGTTAGCCATACCTGTTATATAGCACTATATATTATATATATACTAACTAAAACGTAGTTCGTCATAAAATTGTTATGAATATATTTTTCCATAATTCCCAACAGAGCATAGGTGTATTCTATATCGTAATACTTGATCTAATAGAAAAAAAAACCGTCTATAAATATTTTACTGAAAATCGTTTATAATAACATCGTTACAACGACTCAATGGATGTAATCGTGTAATGATACGTTTGTTTATTGGCGAATTTAGACAAATAGTTTATTACGTATATATTATTATTAACATAATCTGTAAACGATTTCTGCGATTAATAAATTTCTACAAATTAAAAACAAGTTGCTTTTTGTATCGAAACAGTCGAAGAACCTTGCGATCTTGGCTGCGACGGCCTGAACTATTGTACGGCATTCAACAACCGGCCCACGGAGCTTTTTCGGAGTTGTTCACCGCAGACGGACGACGCAGCTCACTACGACGTGACGCTGTGGCGTCAACGCGGCACCATCACACTGTTCAATTACGAAATACCGCTGAAGAACATCACAAAGTGCATGCCCGATAGCTGGAAAGCCGTCGCCTGCATCTTACAGATACGGCCGTGCACTAGGCAAACGCACGTCAACAAAATTTGTCGGCAAGTAAAATTTTGCATCGATTCGCGACTGTTTTTTTGATTATAAACCATTACTTTAAGTATAATTTTATTTATTTATTACTCCTGGGTAGCAAAGTCTTAAATATGGATCCGAGAGAGAACTGTGCAAACCTAAATATATTTATAAGGAAAAACTATAAACATATAGGTACTGTTCTTTAGATCATCTGCAGACATTACTACTTTTTTATTATAGTTCATTTTTGCCCCGAAGGATAATATTATTTGATAGTAAATCCTCAATGCAGGTGTTCAAAATTACAGAAGTAAACGTGAGATTGCTTAACGTTAGTTAGCGATTTAATGTGCCTACAATACGCGATGACAATAGTAGACAATAAATGCGAGTGTCCGCTCTTAGTAATACAACATAAATTTGATTCTTCCAAACCCAAAACTTGCTATGTTATACTTACGTTTTGTCTAACGGACCTCGCTAACGCATGCTTACGATCGACAAGACGACCGGGAATTTTGTTAGCCAATAAAAAATATCGCACAGAATCTATGAAGAGTTTATAAATAACGCGAGTATCTACATAGTTTCATTTCTTTTCCATCGAAATCATGTTCTTTGAAGGTGTATGCGTATGGTGTCGTTTTCGTAAGTCGACATTCGGACTTCAAACAATCGAAATAGAGTTCCAAAAAAAAGATAATCCAACAGTTACCGACAAGGTTTTTTGCGTCTGAACGGTACCCATATTATATAATACAGTTGCATACGATTTATAGCGCTCTTTTTGCCGTCGATACAGACTAAAAATATCACACTTATAAATAATACATTTTATACTATTTCAAACCGTTGACACGGAATTCCTCAAACAATTTCAAACTTACACACACACACACACACATACAAATATATATGCACACAAACGCACGATATTGACGGACGCTCGTGGCGATCCGCCAGCTACAATATTTTATTGCGGACACGCGCGTAATATATCGATGAAAAACGCTAAACAATTCATATCGATCAGGCACTTCATGTCTCGTACAAATGCTATAAAACTGTTGGCAAGCACCGTGGACGTATGTAGCTGTGTCGTTCACCACACGGAGGTCTTGATTTATTGTTATTATTTTGTCAAATCACGCGCTATATATACGTCTGCCGAACTATATACGACCATACAATATTAAATACATTTCTGCGCACCGAATACCAAACAACCCATAACAGCCAATACAGGTTTTCGAAATATTTGTCTGCGAGAGTAATCTCTCGTCAAAATCGTAAACTATTATAAAATTAATCAAATATAATAATATTATTTTAACACGGAACTTATGATAGGAGGAGGACGACCGCGTGACATTGACATATTACTATACTAATTTACTGTACATTATTGCGAGAGAAAAAACGTCTCAATCGAGTTACAAAAATATTACCGTAATCTAACTTTCAGGTTAAACAAAGTATAGATTTCATATTCGTTAATAATTTCAAATAATCAGTTCGTACTATTTTTACTACATACCACCAGTACTACCATGCTATAGACTGGACAGTCCCTAGCCCGGTGGGAAAATGTTTATGATGTGACCCGAATAATTTAAATTCAGTAACATAATCACTTTCAACCCTCTCCTCCCTTCTCCATCTTATCAATGAATAAATACGTGTATGCAATCGCTTAGCCTTAACGAATACCGCGGTATTTTAATCGCTTGTTTTTGTGTGCAAAACAGGGACGATTGTCTGGAGCTATTGAGCACGTGTTTGGACTGGACAAACTCGGCACCGGGAATGTCAGCGAATTCACTTTGCGCACGACTGTCACCCGAATCCGGACCTTGCGTGCCACTCGGAGCTTTCGCGGAACTCGGAGCACCTCGGCTGCTGTCACCGCGACTACAAAACGACCGCCAGACGGATCTCATACAGCACACGGCGATTGACTTGCCGGAGGTGACCACCCCCTGCAAGCGGAACCCGTGCGCACCAGGTTCGGTGTGCCTGGTCAACCGAGGCTGCAAGATTGGTGGCGGATGTAAACCGTACCGATGCGTGGCTGGGTGCAAAGCGGGCGAAGTGTCGCACTTTCTTGTGCCAGAAGATTCGTATGCTCGCATACCCACGTTCAACGGACAAAAGGGCTGCGTAAAAATCTGCCTCTGCACAAAAAAAGGCATTGAAAAGTGTCAGCAAGTACCCTGTTCACAGATACAGTCCTGTTGGCTGGTCGGCAAACCGATTGGTGAGATATAAATATAGCTTATGCGTATTACTAGAAATGTATAGTGAATACATTCATAGGGGCTTGAGACTTGTTTTGTCATTTGAGTACTCGTAATATTTGTTTGTAGAACCGACATTAACTTACGCAGACTCCCAGACGATATTTTAAAATGATGTAATAATCTAGAACCATTTTAAAACCCATTTCAATAACGATAATATTTTTGAAATATTTTAGTAAGTATAATTTTATAAATTTGGTCTGGTGGAGACTGAGCTATACTATAATATACTATACTTGTTCCATATTACAATAAATAATATTTTGCGATAGTGAATGTACTTAAACGCAATAAAAATAACTAGATGGATTTGGAAAAAAATAAAAAATAAAAATCAGACCATTCCTACAAATTGTTCTCATAGAAATTTAAAAATATTGTAAATATATATTTTTAAATACAATTTTTATATATACGTATGTAAATTTTAAATGTTAACTAGATTAGGTATTAAAACGATGTGTAACAAATTTTATTGATTTGAAACTTTTGTTACTTATCAACTTATGAATTACAGTTTAAAAAATATTCAGCTTGAAATAAGTCATCTATACCACAATTATATTTAATGTTAAAAATTGTTAATTTGTCTATCATACAATATTTATTGAGATAATTTTTTCTACCACATTAGTCTCGAGCCCCAGTTACTACGACTAAACCTTTTAAATAAATTTCATAAAAATGCTCTCATCGAAACGCCAAAAATAGGTGACATTGCCTGTTAAATACATCATTTTTACGGTATAGACGTATATAATAACGACGATTTAAAATATACTAGCTACCCATCACTCTACAGTAAAAGCATTTCAAATTAATTTACAAATTTACTACATAAAACAAATTTAAAAATAACTACTCGCGATCACGTATGCCCGATGTTAACATTTAGAATTAATACGATACTATATGACGTCTTCTTATTATTTTTAATCGTAAGTTAACGTTTCATTACGATACTGCAGTTATTGGAGCGGTGCGGGTTATTATTTCGCAAATAGTTTCATATGACATCACCTCATCAGAAATCGATGAGTAACCAGTGTATATTTGATCATGATTTTAATGCTTTACGTTTGAATAAAATAGCAGTGGTTGTTTGTTTGGCGTTACAGATCACGGGTCCACGTTCGAGATGGATTGCAATACGTGCAACTGTTTCGCGGGCGAGATAACTTGCACAAAGAAACACTGCGAACCCACGACCGTCAACGCCGTGTCCCGGTACAGGCACACCGGACTGCCATGCAACTGCGCTCCGCACCACGTGCCCGTCTGTGGTTCCAATGGCAACACGTACCCCAATTCATGTCTGGCCAAGTGAGTACATTCGTTTTGCACTCACCGCCGAATTTGAAACGGAACGGGGATGGTTTTTGAGATATTTTTTAAATCGATCTGTGCCCGAAATCAAATTAATCATATTATATCATACCTTTTACACGTTATCCAGGTGTGCCGGTCTGTCTGACGTGGACCTCAAGTTCGGCACGTGTTGGAATGACGATCCGTGCGCCGGCGATCACACTTGTCGGTCCGACGAGAGGTGCGTGCCCACCCGTCAGGTGTGTTTGTCCATGTTGAAGAAATCTTGTGTCCAATACAAATGCGGTAAGCTTTCATAAGAAATACAAACAGACAATTTTTAAAACGCATTTCGTAAATTTGTTAACGGACATGAATACCGATTTTTTAATTTCCTAAGTTCAAAATCAAAGAATATAAAAACTGAAACTAAAGCCATTAAAATGTACATAATTTTTAGCAAAATATCTACCTGTTCATGCGTGTAGTAGGTGTATTGAACGATTATAACGTATATTAAGAGATTAAATTTAATTTTAACAACTCACATCGAGAAAATAAAATTTACTAAACATAGTTTCCGTGACCTAAAAAAAGTTTCAAATATCCAAATACGGTATTAAAATTGCGTCATATACTTATGATGATAATATGTAAGAATTTAAAACGATCACTTTTAACTTATAGTTTCAGAGAAAACATCGTGCGAAGATGTAACTAAAAGCGTGGTGTGCGACACAGACGACGTGGAACACTCAAACCTGTGTCACTTATTACGGTCTGGCAAAACGCTGGCGTACAACGGGCCGTGCCTGGTAAGTTTTCGGGAATGACACGCTCAACCTGGTGCTAGGTCGTTTCGCTGACCTATTGAGTAATTTTAACGATTTTTTTGACTCACCTTTACCGGTTTTTAGGTGGGGTGCAATTCGACAGGAAGCGTATGCGGGGTGGATGGCAATACCTATCCATCCGAGTGTGCGGCCTTTGCGGAATCTGCTAGCGTTGACTACCCAGGGCCGTGCATTTCTTCTGGGTTCATTGGACACAACGGTCGGCCATACTGTGCTGCAAAAGGCGTAGTAAACTGCCCGAGGCTGCCCCATAAAGGATGTCTAGGTATCACGCCACCCGGGGCCTGCTGTCCCAAGTGTGCAGGAGCTTTACGAATACTTTTCAGGTATGTGGACCTCTATAAACTTATTAATATGCTATAAAATTTTGTTGGAAAAAAGTCTGTGTAAAGTGAAAATCTCTGATTTCTTTTTAACACTTCAAAAAAAAACCTCATATTAACAACTAATCAACAGAAATCTTATATTGTACAAACGAAATTTCTCGGACAAATTTTGAAAAATTTATCTATTTACCTAAGCTCGTAATTAAAATAATATAAAATTGTATTTCCTGTATTTTAACTTATAACTATACCCTCATGTACGTGATTGTTTATCATCAAATGAAAAATTTAAACTTAAAACAAGTGTATTTTATTTTACCAAATTAAATTTTTGCTATATAAAAAGTCTCAACACTTACTTTCTAATATAGCAATAAATTATTAAAGTGGATATAAAATAGGAAATTCTTAGCACTTTTCTTTACAATTTAAAAGAAATAAACAAAGAAAACGGAAAATCGAAATATTTCGATTTTTGATAAAATTAATTTTATTTTTTATTGTATCTGACTGAAATAAAAATAAACATAAAGACTTAATAATACTTTATACATCTATAATACGCATTATTAATTATAAATTACTTCTTTTTTGAAAAAAGGTTGTTCTTTTTAACATTTTTCGGCTTATAATAGATACTTTATGATTTTTGTGGTTTATTTTAAAATTTGTGTTGTTAATATGTAGATCAAATAACTTGAAAATGTAATATTATGTTAATCATAAGTTATTCTTACAAAAACTAAAAACATAGAAATCATAAACAGAAAATTGTTTTTTACAAACTTTGAAGTTTAAATTTTTAACAAAATCGGAATTTTCAACGAAAGTATATCTCTAAAATCATAATTAATCTATCGGTTAAAGATCACTGTAAGAATCAATGACAAGTTACACTCATCGCCTATACTAGTGTATATAGCAGAGTGAGTTTCCCGTTTTTTATTTTTTATTTCTTAAAACTTAAAATATTACTTGTTTGATGTTTCGTATATATTTTCGGAAAAGGATTCTATATTCCTTACAATGATATTATTAAAAATACAAACAGTAAAAATGTTTTTTCCTCCAAAAACCCAAAAATTTACTATGAACTGCACTGCCTCGAAAACATTATTTAATGTACTCATATCAGTCAATATCTATATGTGTTTTGTACGAATTTCCAGTCAAAAACAAGTCGACCGGGTGATGCACACGCTAAAAAAGCCGTCGGTGAACGCGCTGAATACGAAATCTATCCTCCGGGCATTGGACAGGCACGTGCTGGTGGCCGAGTGCGTGGTCCGCGGCCACCTGACCATGTACCAAGACCTGTTGGTGCTCGTCGAGTCCACGGTCCGGAACCCAACCAGGCTTCAACTGGAGGCGTGCATCAGGGAGTCGGAAAAGCTGTCGTCGCTGGTGGAAACGTCAAGTCCTCGAGTCATGATTGACCTGAGTCTCAGCACGCTCATCTCGGCCAGTCCTGTTCACGAGATGGTCGCGGACGACGACGCCGACGCTGCAGCCGCCGCCCCAGATCTCCAGGCTTGTGCCGCCACCGCCACCTTCACACTGATTCTGACTGTGCTCATTCGCTAAAAAAATAATCCGACTGAATTTTTTTTATTGTTTATTATTTTTTCATTTCATTTTTGTTTTCACATTTTACTCAACCCGTACGAGTTTATTATACGGTTTAAAAATATTTCGATAGTAATTAGTGATTATTATGTACATATTATTATTATTGTTATTATTATTATTATTATTATTATTATTATTATTACAGTAGTAATTATTGTAGTTAAAACGATTACAATATTATATTGTTACTATGCGCGATGGCTGTGATAAAAAGCATTATTCTTACGTGCCTATTTTATACAATGTTGTAATGTTTTCCTTATATTAAATAACATTTATTTTTATTTTTATTACGTATTATTATTATTTGATTATGTTATAGTGTCAAATGTCTCAAATGTACGTATTGATAATATATGTTTTTCTGTCAAAACAAATCAATAAATACGTTTTAAATTTAAGAAGTTCAATTATTAAATATATATCGCTACAGCCAACCACTATCTTGCCTAACTAACAGTAATATATAGACTAATAAACCATGTAAGCAACTTTATTCGTGACGTATAATTAAATTGATCATTACTTAATATTTTATACATACATCATTTAATATAAGCTAGCAGTAAAGCTAGCAGTAAATAGTTAAGACAAGCTATGTATTTATCATATCATATAATTCCTTTTAGATGTTAAATTTATTAATTAAAAACTTCAAACAATTTAAAAAATTAAAAACTTTAAAATAATTTTCAAAGATTCGTGTTCCTATATAATACAGTATAACAGGTAATTTTTATTTTTTTATAAATATATTTTGGTAAATGATTTACTTCGATTTTTTATCGTAAATAATCTAATAAAATGCGTTTTTAAATAAATAATTTTAAATAATAATCATTTTCATAATAGGGTTACTTATAATAGTAATATATTAGTAAACATCTAATCTTCAAAGTGTGAAAATATATTTTACTAATAAACCAAAAACCAAAATATAGTTTATATAATATTAAACAACTAATTATGTCATGGTTATTAATTTGTATTATAGCTGTAACCTGTAACACGCTACTTTAAATTAAATGCTGATTACGTATCAATTCCTAAACATAAATTTGACGATTAAACTAAATTTATATCAATAAACTTGAAGACAATTTGATTGCATAACAAAATCTAATTCATGAGTATAAACAATAAAAAAAAAAGAATTGACAATATAAATTGTAAATTCACCTTGTAAAGTAAGTACTCACTTGTAATATTTTATTATACAGTAGAATTCATTTATGATTCTTTCGCATAATACGACTTCTTGCGTAATACGCTCATTTTCACGAGTACCTTGATTTTGATAGCAGTTAACATGTAAATAACTCCGAATAAGACGCTCTATGTCAATGATATTATTAGTGAAAAATTAATAATCACAATAATGTATATTATTATTATTGATTCAATAAGGTGCCGTAACTTAGTTTACACTATGATGTGTACATACCATACAATAAAGATAAGCTTTTAGAATACACTAATAATCACTCGTTATCTCCCCACAACAAATGCACTTGATTATGAACACAAACTAAGAAGATTAATTGCATCTTCTAACAATGCAGATGAAACACTACAAAATCTTAATAAAATTGAAGACTTCTTCTACTCAAAAAATATTAAAAATGCAAAACAAACAAAAATTGATCATTTTTTTAATGTAAAATAAACTATGTACTCGTAATTTATATATATGTATTATGTATATAAAAATAATATGAGATAATATGTAATTTGAAATAATAAAAATAAAATTTAACAATAAGTATGTATGTATTAATATACTATACTTGTAATCACTAATCATAATACAATATAAATACAATCATGATAAAAAATTTAAAACTTTATGTACAATTTTTATTTGTCAACTTTCTGGTTTTCCCGCGTAATACGGTTTCTCGTTTATTACGTTATTTTTACTTGGTCCCTTAGAAATCGTTTTAAACGGATTCTACTGTATATTCATATTTCTTATATTTTCTTACTTTATTTATTTTCTTCTTAAAACATAATGCCAATAATTCTGTAAAGTATTAAAAAAAAACTTATTTGTTTTTTGACTAACATTTTTATGTAGTTGATGTAGGATTTATTTATATTTATTACTATTCGATTTTCTATCTACCTTCCCTCATAAACATTATAAACGGCGCATGAGATAGGCAATTTAGGGGCACTAAGGTATATACTATATAGTATTCATAAAATAAGAGTGACAACGCTCAATCGCAATGTGATCAATGATCCGTACTCAAATATTATTAAAATAAAAACAAAAACAAAATAAGCAGACCGCTCATCTGTTTATTCACCAAAAGCTCAACCTAATTTTATAATACTTACAATGGTTGTTAGGAAAAAAGTTTCCTGTTCCAATTATAATATGGTAACCAACCATTAAGGTTAGAATTTTATAGTTGTATTATTTTCAGGATTAAATTAAAATTTACTTGTACCTATTTTTCAATAGTTTCTGACATAACTTTCCCATAATAATTACCAAGTATAAAATATCTATTAATCGAATACCTACACCTAAAATTTAAGACTTATATTGTTATAACGAGTAACACCCTCTAACTGACGTAATATATTAATCAATTTAAATAGATTATACATAATATACACGAAAATAAATTCAGCTACTAAGAGTTAAGCGTAACTAACAAAAATAACATAATTTTTATATAAATTGATAAATTGGAAACCGATTAGTACTCGGGCCAAGCCATACAAATCAGCTATACTCTATCAGTTTAACAAATATCAGTCCAAGTAATGATCTGTAGTACCTAGATACTTTGATTTTTATATTTTTTTCGAAAAATTTTATGAGGATTATCGAAATGTATTGATTTTATAATTGTATATGTTTTTAATTTACATTAAAAACATATATACAATATACATATATATATTACAAGAGTACACTCGAAACCTTCTATACAGCTGAGTGAGTTCCAGTTTTTTGAGTAATAATTTATATTAAAATATATAATATTTTATAGATACTTATATTAAATCCGACCAATAAGTTTTAAGGCGTATAAGATACTAGTGCTTGCAAAGGGAATAACGTTATATTTCAAGCTTACCTCTCCTTTGAAGGAACACTATTGTTCCTTTATGCGACCTCTACTCAAGCATGACTCAGCCTTGTAGGATTTTCCCACACTACCTTCAACTTCGCATTCATCGAATCAGTCTAAAGGTACTTTCGATTCTAGTTCTTTGTGGAATTGGTCTTAAAACGCTAGTCTAGAAGAGTTGACATTAACTTGAATTTACTCTGAAACCTCATCGACGGTTCTTCCAACGCTCCTTTCTCTCATCAAATTTCGAATCCCTCCGTGTGTCTGGTTCACTAGAGATTTGCTATCCCTATACGCACCACTAATTATTTTTCAAAAAATCCAATTCAGTGTATGATGCGTCTTGCTAACATCCATCCTTCGTTCTTGCACTAATCTAAATACCAGGTTCTCGTCTCACTTCCGCTGACTTATCTCTTACATGTATAATTTACTTACTTATTACTGTAAATTTTGCTAAGCTCCTATTATTAAAATAAAATAAAATAATGAATAAATTTTGTTGTAGCAGCAGTTAAACTTTGTAACTTTTAGTACTACAGTAGCAGCTGCTAACTAGTATTCATAAAATTACCTACATAGTAATTTTATAAACTAAATAATAACGTTATTCCACACATTAACTGTAACATACAATATACTATACATTATACATACTTTATTATCCATTTTTCTGATATTCTTGCTGAAATTATAATGACCCAACATTTATATATAGCTAATTTCTCCGTTAATAAAGATATTTTTTTGAACATTGTATGTAAATATAAATAGTACGATTATTCGCGTCAATTCAAAAAATAAATTAAATTTTAAGTTTGTGCTTTCAATTAAAAGCCCATCAGATCTAAATGTATAGGAAATATTGATGATGCCTAAACACTTGCAAAAAAATAAAATTGGTATTTGAGTCATTTGAAAAGCAGTCGACATTGTGAGAATGCGTTTCTTTGAAGTACGTACTCAATATTAAAATGAAAACCATTCGTATTCATTAAACGACAAAATAATATTTATTACTATGAAATTGTTATATAATGACAACCTCCAAATAAAATAACTAAAAACAGAAGTACCTACCTATTTATTATTATTGAAAAATAATAAATTATTGATTAAACTAATACCCACTTTATTTTGTGTTGTTATAAATTTATGTTGGTTTCTTAGCAATTGCACTGCGTAGAATTGTGTTAAGTATAAAATTATTATCTTAAGTTATTATTAATATAAGGGTTATGAATAGGTTCGTATATATAACCGGGTATTAAATAATAATTTTAACAATTTAAAACAATGAAACAAATAGAAGTTATATTATGATCATTATAGTATTTATTTAATATCATGACTTACGAGTTTAGTAGCATTTTATCGTTTTTAATTGGGGATTTTTAATTCGATCATGATTACAAATATTAAGAATACTATATAATTGATACTTCTGTTCATTTGGAGCTCCTCTATATATATATTATTTCAACCAGGAAAAAGAGTTTAAGAACTAGATGTATTGTAAATCATTTAATAGAGCTACTTTTGATGTAAAATAACTTCAAAATATTCAATCCACATAGTTTTATCCTTTAAACCAGAAAATATTAAACAAGTTATCAAGAAAACTATTTGTTTGAATAAAGTTATATTATTCTAAAAAACTAAGTGAAAGATTAAAATTTTTAATTTCGAGAAATATGAAGCATAATATTATATCGGATTGAGGAATATATTGATTTAACAATTAAATATTTTGTATCTGTAAGTATATACATAATTAGTCGAAAAAAGACTCTACAATATTATTTGTGTAATAAATTTTATAATTTTCTTCTAAAAAAAAATAAATAATTATATTTAATAAATTCATCACAAAAATACGACTTTACAAATAAAAAAAAACTCCAATCGACATCAGAATAAAACTTGTAAAATGTATGATTTTTTTTTTTAATAAAAAAAGTTGTTTTACTATATTATAAAAATTGTATATTATT